GTTTAATTAAAAACACCATTAAAGTGGCACTAGTACAAGTGGAATATTCTCGAAAGGAAAGAGATACACGTATAACCACATGCCGGCTATTGTCATTGAATTGATAACTTCAAAAAAAGATCCAGCATCATTGTTTAGTTGGTTGGCTCAAGAAGCTACGCGGGAAAAATTCGAATTAAAAGCAAGCAGTGGCGATTGGTCACATGACAATAGTATCGATATTCACATGTTAGCGACGAGTGACACAAACTTTAATCACTATCTACATGGTCACGGAATGAGGAAAATCATATTGAATCGAGTAAATGTTTGAAATCTCTGGCAGCAATCAATGATAAACCTAGTCAGTCTCTTTTGTAAAGCTATCCAAATGAAATGTTTCATGTATTGTATTTTTACCGGTTGACAAGCAACAAGCGGTCACATGACGTAACATTCCATTCCCACGTTACGTTTATACTTTTTTGACCTCATTAGGTTGGCCCTTTAATTCGTAGAAAATCCAATAATAATAATTCATAAAAAGTAGCCAATATTTTGGAGATAAGATTCATCAATTGGATTAAATTATTGTTTTAGTGCTGGAAGTTCTAACTACCTGGTCATATTAATCAGAATATCAGGTATATTTGGGAAATGCAAAGGTATATTCCGGTATATTTTTGAGGGCATGCGGTATATTTGATCGATGCCTCCGCGGTCACCCTGATCCGCGAAATGTTGAAGAAGCCAGATAAAACGTAGAAATTCAATAGAAATGCCTAATAAATGTTAAGTTAAACGTGTAAAAACCTGAGACTAAGGTAAGTAACTCCTACAACATAAGTTTATCTCAATATTTACTTCTTTGGGGGCGTTATACGCTGGCTCTGTTCGGCGACACCAGCGCCACCACACGATAAAAAATGGAGTACAGCCACGAAAATTGCGGCCGTAGCTGCGAGTGCCACTTGCCGCTTCTGCACAAAATCAATAATCCGAAGTGCGCTTTCTGTTTTCAAATGCATTTTTGTTATGATTTAATTGCAGTTACAGGATGTCGAAACGCAGCGCTGACGATGCTACTGGCGGCAGCGGTAGCAGCTGCTTGGTGGCGGCGGCAGCGGCTGGGCAGCCACCCATTAAGAAGGTGCATTTCGAGCCGCACCTCATTGGGCCGGTTTCCACTCTCGAGGAGATGGACATTAAGGTGCTTGAGTTCCAAAACAAGAAGCTTGCCCAGCGCATCGAGCAGCGGATGCGCACCGAGGCCGAGCTGAGACACCGCATTGAGCAGCTGGAGAAGCGGCAGACGCAAGACGATGCCGTGCTGAACGTGGTAAATCGGTATTGGAATCAACTGAACGAGGACATCAGAGTCCTGCTGCAGCGATTCGATGCAGAGACGGCCGATGAGCTGGAGAACAAGAATGAGAACGAGGTGACCACGTCGTTTCTGACGCAACTCTCTACCTGGGACAAGGAGGAGCTGGACGAGAAGCTGGCCAACCGCGTCCAGGTGTCGAAGCGAGCAGTAGCCAAGATCGTACAGGTTATTGATAGGTTAATGCAGCGTAATGAGAAGATAACTCATGTATTGAGAGGCGACAGCCTGCCTGGTGCAACAGGGTCCGGGGCAACGGGAACTGGTGGTGGAGATGAAGAGCAAAAGTCCAGTGGCGAGGCGGAAGCGGCTACACTTCGAGTCCAGGCGCTTGAGGAGACGTTAAAGAAGACGCACATTGAGATCATGACCGAGAACCGCAGCCTGCAGAATCTGAACACGTCGCTGCACGAGAAATTCCACACAATGTCGCTGAAGATGAAGGAGTACCAGGATGCCCTAACCGCCAAGGAGACGGAAAATGCCGAGCTCAAGAACCAAATTGACGAGCTTCAATATGACTTGGAGAAGATCCATTGCCGCAACGACAAGCTCGAGAACCATCTGGCTGAGGCCATTGAGAAGCTAAAGGCCTACCACCAGATCTACGGGGATCCCAACAAAAGTAGCAACAGCACCAAGACCCCCAGCACGGGCTCCGCCACTACTACGACCAGTGTCAACAGCCAGCTGCTGGAGGATTTGCAAAAGGAACTAGAAGAGCATCGGGAATTGGCCAACAATCGATTGCAGGAGCTGGACAAGCTGCATGCAACGCATCGGGAGACCCTCAAAGAAGTGGAGAAACTCAAGATGGATGTAAGTATATCTCGTAAACACTTATACGCTTCTTTATTTACTCTGTTCTCGCTTTTGTTAGATACGGCAACTTCCCGAGTCGGTGATTGTGGAGACCACAGAGTACAAGTGTCTGCAATCTCAGTTCTCTGTTCTGTACAACGAATCCATGCAGATTAAAACGATGCTTGACGAGACGCGGAACCTGTTGCAGACTAGCAAAAATCAACATCTCCACCAGATCGAGGTGATGGAGAGCGAGGAGCTGATTGCCCAGAAGAAGGTGCGCAGCGATATGATCCAAATGGAGGATGTCCTAGCCGCAATACGCAAGGAGTACGAAGTGCTGCGCATTGAATTCGAGCAGAATATGGCTGCCAACGAGCAGACGGCGCCCATCAATCGCGAAATGAGGCATCTCATCACCTCGCTGCAGAATCACAATGGCCAGCTTAAGGGCGAGGTGCAGCGGTATAAGCGAAAGTACAAGGACACGTCCACGGAAATTGTCAAGATGCGGAAGGAGCTGGACGAGGCACTGGCCAAGCTGGAGGGCAACAAGCTGCAAGCAGCAACAAATGCTGCAGGCGAGGAGATCAAGCAGGAATCTGCGGCGAATGTCAAGGAGGAAAATGCGAATCACTCATCCTCCTCTGGACAGACAAATAATACCAATGTCGGGAGCGACAACAACATAGCCAACATCAAAGAGGAGAACCCTTCCACGGCCGATGATGAAATTGATGACGATGCAACTGGCAAGGATGTAAAGGATGGTATTAAACAGGAAAAGCTGAGCGCAGCAGAGACCGCAGCGGCAGAGAAGAAGGATTCGCCTGGGCAGCAGAACTCCACGACAGCAGCCTCAAATGCTGGTTCAGGAAACGCCATCAAAACCGAAAAGGATTCCAAGGATGGGGTAAAGGCCAAGGATGTCAAGACCGTGGAAAGCGAAACGGTACGCGATCTCAAGGCCCAGCTTAAGTATGTTTTATTCCATCTGAGGATTGCAGTCTCGCATTTATTGGTTTGGTTTTGTTTTACAGGAAAGCGCTGAATGATCAGAAGGAGATGAAACTGCTGCTGGACATGTACAAGGGCGTCTCGAAGGATCAACGCGACAAGGTACAACTGATGGCAACTGAAAAGAAGCTCCGCTCGGAGATCGAGGAGCTGCGGCAACAGCTCAAAAAGCTGCAGGAAAGCAAGCGGGAAGAACGGAAGAAGCTCGCCGACGAGGAGGCGCTGCGGAAAATCAAGCAGCTCGAGGAACAAAAGTACGAACTTCAGAAGCAAATGGCCAACCACAAACCCTCGGAGAATTCGTGGGGAGGCGCCCCTGGCCCTGCAGGTAACTATACCCGGCCGTTTGTGGGCTCACACGAGGAAGAGGCGCTGCTGAATGAGATGGAAGTGACGGGACAGGCTTTCGAGGACATGCAGGAGCAGAACTCGAGGCTTATTCAGCAGCTCCGCGAGAAGGACGATGCCAATTTCAAGCTCATGTCGGAGCGGATTAAGGCCAATCAGCTGCACAAGCTGCTGAGGGAAGAGAAGACAGTGCTGGAGGACCAGATGGCCACGGCAACGAGTCAAATCGAAGCCATGCACGTAGTTCTGCGCAAGTTGGAGGAGAAGGAGCGCAGTCTGCAGGCGACAGTGGCCTCGATGGAGAAGGAGCTGATGCTGCGGCAACAGGCCATGGAGATGCACAAGCGCAAGGCCATCGAGTCGGCCCAATCGGCGGCCGACTTGAAGCTCCATCTGGAGAAGTACCACGCACAGATGAAGGAGGCGCAGCAGGTGGTGGCTGAAAAGACGAGCTCCCTGGAGGCGGAGGCGTACAAGACGAAAAGGCTACATGAGGAGCTGGCACAGTTCAAGCGCAAGGCAGAGCGCATGAAGAAGATGGAAATGTCTGGCACAACCATCGACGAGGTGATGATCGAGGAGATTCGCGAGTACAAGGAGACGCTCACGTGTCCATCGTGCAAGGTGAAGCGAAAGGATGCAGTCTTGTCAAAGTGTTTCCATGTCTTCTGCTACGACTGCCTGCGCACGCGGTACGAGACAAGGCAGAGAAAGTGTCCCAAATGCAACTGCGCCTTCGGCGCCAACGATTATCATAGGTTATATCTGCAGTAAATAAGCGATAGACCAGACCCCCCGTTAAAGGTAATTAGGTACGTTTCGGCATGTTTTATTCACAGCAACACTCAACCACACACACACACACACTGCATTCAGAGACAGAGAGAGAGACATTCATGCCGAATTATCCATTATGAGCATATAATACGAGTATCTAATCTATGTATGTATGTATGTATGTACTAATCTTTCGTTTAAGTAGCCTCCGAATAACCCCCGCGATTCCCACTGTGGGCACTTATTTGAATTTGTTCATATGGCGCCAAGCATCTCACTATGAGTTCCGCGAGACTTTCGTCGCGGCTTTTTTTATGTAGCTTCTAGTTTTTGTAAATCAAACTATTTTTAAATGATTTAATTTGAAACTAAATGTACGAACTCTAATAAATGGCTAAAAACTTTACTTTTAGATGCTAAAGTTAATAAATTTCATTTTGTATAAACCGCTGATGTCAGGGAGAATATAAGGTCATAAGGTGTACAATCCAACAAAAAGGAGTATTTAAAATATGCAGAATTGATTCTCCAATCGGATTAAACTATTGTTTTAGTGTGAAAACTCTTTGCAAGCTAATAATATCAAGTAGAAAATCAAAATCGAGGAATATGATTTAAGATTAGAGTATTTTTACGGTATATTTTTAAAATAAGAAGATATATTTCTGAGGGTTGTGTGGTATATTAGATCGATCATTCTGCGGTCACACCTCTAGGTACAAATTGGCACAAACAACATCAAAACAACATTAACTAAAAATGCTGTAATTCTCGTATAGCCTCGAATAAACATTGTATGCTTGATGGATTTCAAAAAGGAGGTGGAAGACAACCTGCTCCTGCTCATTGAAAACACTAGGCTCTTCAAGCAAATGGCCGACGGTATGGTATATCATCATCCACACATTTCCAAGTTGCTTATTTATTTGAATTTGTGCTCTAAATCCAAACAGCTCTTGGCGATTGCGATGCGAAGGGCGAAATTAAAAGTTTCCTCGAAGAAAGCGCCAGGCTGCGACTGAATATGTGCGAAAAAGTGATTCAAATGGAACAGGAGCATAAAGACGCGTGCAAGGCCATAGAACAGGCCAAGGGCGAGAGTGCCACTCCGGAGGAGCTCGTACAAAAAGTTGATGAACTCAAGAAGGATGCCGCTAAAAAATCTTCCAATGTGAAGAACACAACCAAATACAAAGCCTTTAAGAAAGAAATGGAATCCTATTTGGCCGACGCCACTGATCCTGCTGGCGAAGGTGATTGCAGTATGTCCGAAGTTGTGCAAACCGGCGGCGACGTGTTCTCCCTACACGACCCGTGGTCCATGATGCTGATGAAGGAGCCCGTGCGTAACAAGATGTGTGGTCATATCTACGACAGTGGATCGGTTAACGCCATGATCAAGAATAACCTCGGTATTCGCTGTCCTGTATCGGGCTGTGCTAATGAGCACTACATTCAACCCTCCCATTTAGTGAAGGACCTCGAGGCTCTAGAGAAGCTGCGTCGTCACCTGTCTGCGCAGGATTTAGTCATCGATTCTGACTCTGACGAATCTGATTAGTAGCGTTTTAATATTAGGATATACAGAAAGTCCAACAGAAGGCCAAGGAGAATGTCTACTCTGTGGCCTCCAGTCCAGCAAAACATGACTATACATTGCACTACATGAGCGACTCCTTATTGTGCTGCCATCAGGATTATCCTTTAACCGAAGCAGGTTCAGGTTAAGATTAGCATACACAACATATAATAACCATTTTGTAAAAATTTGTTAGGAGCCAAGTATTTGCTTATCAATAAAAGGCGTAGCATACTTTCGGGGTGCTCAATACAGTTATCATATTTTGAAGTATCTTTTGGGGGCTAACACGAAACTTCTTACAAAAATGCGTAAAACAGCCATATCCTGCAGTCTTTGAGACCCTTTGGGCTCAAAGGATAGAGGAGACAGTTCCGCTCCCAAGGAGGCATGGCATGTCATGATCTGACAGGAAACAGCCGAGTTATAGCGTTGTATAGATTCTAGCTTAAAAACATCCTTAAACATCCATTATCCTTCCATCCGAAGTGATTGTAATCGGACCGGGACTTTGTCCCGATCACGAGGAGGTGTGGCATGTCCTGCTCCGACAGGACACAGCCAAGCTATGGCGTTATGGGGATTCCATTTAAAAATATCCCTAAAATGCCATTATCCTTAAAGTCCTTACATCCGAAAGGATTGAAAACGATAAAGGACATTCGCCTGATCACGAGGAGGTGTTTCATGTCCTGATCGGTCACCAAATGAAGGAGAAAGCAATATAACAAAAATGTGTGCTGTGTGCTGTGTTTGTTGTACAACAAACAACCTTTCAAATTGCTTCGCTCAATGGAAATTTTCGGACCGAGTACTAGGCTAACATAAATCAGCAGAAGGTAGCTGGTTTTTATGTTTTTTCATCGTGTCTAGAGCTGGCTGCTATGAAACTCGGCGTTTCTTTTAAATCTCAAGTCATTAAAGGTATGCACCAAATCGTAGTTCCATAGTACATTTTTTGTTGTTTTTTCCGGAATTGCGACGTCTATCTTGCTGAGAACTGTTCCAATGGTTGTTGCCTTCGTTTTCTGGATATCCGCTGCCGCTTCTATTGTCGCGTGGAGTGGCCCACTCCTGCTTATGGCTGTTGTTGCTGCCGTTTGAGGCGGCCATCTGTGTATTGTAGTGCTGCAACGCACCATGATGTCGAAAACCTTTTCGATTTTCTGAAAGACAAAACGGGAGTATGTAAAAAGAGAGCGGTTGGCAGAGTCATTATACCATTATACCTTTTCACCCAATCGCCTGTCCAAACAGATACTAAAGTGCTGTAATTGCCCTGGTGACCAACTTGGCCAGCCACAGTCGGCGCAAGCCAACTATTCTGGCTCATTCAGACGAATGACCCGGGTCAATATATGGAGACAGATGTCCCTGGAGCGTTGAGTATTGTATCTGGGGGGGAGACAATATTTCTTAGACATCAAAATGGATTGCCGATAGGTGAGCTAATCGAATCTTACTTCGTTGCCATTTCATCCACGAGCAGTGCAGCAGCTCGATTGAAAGCGATTCGCAGAAAGTACTGCGGCAGACAGGCTCAAAGACGACACATGTCCCCGTGGATAAAATTCTTCATGCTTACAGCTCCTTGGACCTTTCCGGCTTGGTGCGAGTGCTACCGATCCACGTGCCATAAAACTTTTCCAGCAGGAGGAGACCTCGCCAGTCGAAACGTGGACGCACGCACCACAAGTCTAGAATTCTGAAACCATAACAAGTTTGTACAATTTGCAAAACTATCATCCAAACGATGGAGCAGACGGCACATGGAGGGCCGAACGTTGCAGAGGATGCTGTTTGATACCTGCCGCTTTGGGCTCGTACTGCAATTGACATCACCAATATCCGTCATGAGTGTGTATCGTTTTACTTAAGATTTTAATGCTTGAATTAACATAATTGAATTTGTTTTTCAGAAAATGTGATTTTTGTTATTTTGGAAACCAGCTGTGCGACCAGACCGCGGAAATAACGATAAAATACACCTCACAACCCTCAAAATATACATTTTCATTTTAAAAACATCGATAGGAGACAGACATATCGAAAATATAATATTGATGTCTGACAAAGTCTAACAGCCATGAAACGTCATCGATTATATTCAAACAAATCGGCGCAAGGTATTATCATTAATTATGGGCAGATCTTGGTACTGTTTTCTACAATATTGGTCACTTTGGACGAACAAACTACTTTTCCAGGATAGTAAGAAACCACGACCACTCGTTACTACCGCGTTATCAGTTTAAAATCCCTAAAATCCTTGAAATTAGCGACTCGTATACATATACATAATGTTTTTTTTAATGTATGTACTATGTTGCAAATACATAAATCGTTTCATTTCATTTATAATGCACTCTTAGTGTGCATGCATCTTCTTTTTTTTGCATAGAGTTAATTACAACTATTATTTTCATACGTGGTTTTGCATTTTGTTTTTTTTTATCGTTTCGTTTGTGTTTTTATGTTTTTGGCAAAACTAAACAAAAAAAATAATATTGAAATGGGATATAGCATGACAGAGTAAGAGCAAAAGAACTAAAAATATATTTATCCTTCGTTTATATATATAGGTAATAGTAATTAATTTGTATAATTCAGAATTGTTATTTAATTGCTAAGACGTATAAATACTTTTTTATTTCCCCCCGCACTCGGTCTCTGTTCGTTATTAGATTCAGCTTCACCGCAGCCAAACAGAATTGTTAAGGTTAATCGAGGAGAATGGGATGGGGAGAGACTTTCGGGGTTATGTACTTTGCTCATATTTTTGTTGTGTTTAAGATCTTTCTGTCCTGTCGTGTCTGGGAGTTTTAGAAACACCCTTAGAGCGGTTTTAGTTTTTCCTGTATATAGTCGTAGATCCTTTGAATTTTTCTTTGTTTTTCTAACAACTATTTTGTTTTTATTAATACGTAAATAAATCGTAATTAAGGGAAAGAATTATACATGGTTTTAAAAAAATGCGCAAGAATCGGATTCCTCACAGGCTCATGCTGCCGCTGCCACTTTCCCTGCCCCTAATTGTGATTTGCTCTAGACGAATTTGTTATTAATTTTCATATTTTCTTGTTGTTTGGAGTCTAACGTCGTAATAGTAATTGTACGTCTACGTTGCCTTTGCTTGCATGTGGAGGATGATCAGTGTTCGTTATCTGTGTGTGTGTTTCGGTATAATTTTGCATAATGTTTTCCTTTTTGTTTAATGGTAATACGTATTGTTTGCTCAGTTTTTATTCTCCAATCCAATTGGAATGCGCTGTGGCTGTGTCTGGCGTTGATTTATGTAGCCACCGCGCTCGCCACCTGCACCCTGGCCACCCGCTCCGCCTCGACCACGATCGCCCAAGGGCCTGCCACCGCCAAACGAGCCAGTGCCGTTCCTCTGCTGGTTTCCACCACGCTGGCCGCGATAGCTTCCACCGCCTCCTGCAGAATCATAGCGCGACTCCTTGTTGTAGACTCCGCTGCCGTTCTGGTAATAGTTGTTGCCTCCGCTTCCCGACTCGTTGTTGCGGAAGTACACGCCACTGTTACCACCGGGATTGCGTCCGTTTGTCGAGTTTCCGTACTGACGCGAGCGATAGCTTCCCCTTTCGCCACCATTACGGCGCTCATCGCCACGTCCACCCTGTTCGCGGTCACGATCCCGATCCCGATCGCGTCTGTCGTCTCCTCCAGCACTGCGACGCTGGTAGTTTCCGGAATTGCGACGTCCATCTTGCTGAGAACTGTTCCAATGGTTGTTGCCTTCGTTTTCTGGATATCCGCTGCCGCTGCTATTGTCGCGTGGAGTGGCCCACTCCTGCTTATGGCTGTTGTTGCTGCCGTTTGAGGCGGCACTGCTCATGGCATTCATTTCCGAACTCCATTTATTAGGCTGTGCCGGCGGTGTGGACTCTACTATCGACGAGGACTGGGCTTTCAAGACATTCGTAAGTGCAGCGGTGGCTGCGGCATTGGTGTCGTTATTACGGGCACTCCATTCGTTGTTCTCCACATCGCCACCAGCTCCTACAGATGATGTGTTCCCTATAGAGGTCTCTTCCAGCTGCTGTTGTTCCTTGAGCTGCTGCTGGATTTGTTGCTCGTAGGTCACAACAGCACTGTCGTAGGGAAACACTGAGGTTACATCTCCTGGCTGCATGCCGATGCCTTGCGGAGCCTGCTGTGGCGGAGCCAGCTGCGGTTGTGGTTGAGGCTGTGGCTGCTGCTGGGGCGGTAGGCGTGCCATGATTAACATGGGTTGCTGTTGCGGCTGCTGCTGGCGCTGCTCGTGGATTAAAACTGGCGAGAAGAGTTGCTGCTGCTGTGGAGGGGCCTGTGGCTGCGGCTTCGGCTGTTGCGGCTGCGAGGGGAAGGATTGATTGGTAAAGGTCAGGGTCTGTATGGCCTGTGGAGGCTCTTCAATGTAGTGTGGCCGAGCCTCGAAGATCAATCCCTGGTTGGATGGGGGTGGAGGAGGCAAGACCTCAGGATTGTCCAGTTCACTGTCCTGCAGAAAGTGGAAGGTTCCTGTGCCCAAAACCTCCGCCAATGGACGCAGTTGTTGCATAAACTGTTGCTGCTGCGGTGTGGGAGCCTGCAAGCCTGCTGCCTGGGGATGCGGTGGCTGCTTGAAGTAATTCTGCTCGACAGCACGAACTGTGGGGGCGAAGTGAGGAGGAGGCGGCTGCTGCTGCTGTTGCTGCTGAGGGGGAGGAGGAGCTGCTCCCGTCTGCTGCAAGGCCTGGAGATTCACGGGACTGCTCAGCAGCTTGTGTGGGTGAGGCGGTGGTGGCTGTTGTTGCTGAGGAGGCAGCGGCGAAGCATACACAACATGCACAGGAGTGGTCGTTGGTTGAGAGATTGGAGGCTGTTGCACCACCATGTTTTGCGGCGGCTGCGGCTTCTCCACTGGAGCACGCAGGAGCTGAGGGTCAAGCTGAATGTGATTTGGGCGTTCGTGTTGCAGCTGCTGATGCTGCTGCTCCACTTCAGGATTGCCACCCAAATGCACATTATCAAGACCCTCCTCAAGGGAAGTGCGAGCTGACGGCTCGGAAGGCAACTCCGTTTCCAGTTCTACGGTGCCATCATTCAGCAATATCTCCCCGACATCGCCCTCGCCGCTTCCAGTGCCACTGTCTGTGCTGTTGGCCACCGCGTTCTCGACCGGCACTTGATAGTACTTGTCGAGATATCCGCTGTCCTGGATCTGTTGGAAGAGAGCACGCACCTTTTCGAAGGTGATTTCACCGTAGGCCTTGGGCTTGGCATTGATCGTCAGGGAGAACAGCTCGGCCGCTTTCTGGGCAGTGGCTAAGAAGCTTATGTCTTCAGCAGTTTCCGGGCGACGGGTTTGGGTCTCATTGTAGCTAAGGGTGAACAAAGAATTAGCTCTCGAGATCTCTTCTTTGTCGATCTACTTACAATTTCTCCAGCACCTCCAGTTCGCCGCTCTCCAACTTTTGCGCTCCGTTCTCGCCCGCCAGGAAATCGTTTCGAACTTGTTCATCATTGAAGCAGTTGAGCACGTTCTGAATGATCAAAACCTCACGAATCTTGGCAGTCTCAGCCAGCAACTTGGCCTGGTTGTCCTTCAATTACAAAGATTTGTCCAATATTCGTTCAACTTGATCAGAATACACGATGCTTACCTTGCGTGCCTGTTTCTTCTGCTCCTTTTCGGCCTCTTTGGACTGCTGTTGCATTTGCTTGGCCAGCTCGCGGGCAAACTCCAGATTGGCCAGGACCGCATCGTATTTGGCCACAGCAGACGCCTGGTCAGCGCTCAGTTCCTTGCCGCCTGTTTGTATGGCGCGATAAGATTCCAGTTTTGTCTGTTTATCAGAAAATGCAAACAATCAGTTTATTAGTTTTGTGGACATTACTCATGGTTTGGCACATAAACAATAGGAAAAGAGGCAAGCAAAAATGTAAATTGGTTCACCGGCTACGGTGTTGCCAGACTGCCGGCAGACTCTCAGCTGTTAGAAGTGCGAATTTAAGAACTAGAACAAATGTAATGCAACAGCTACTATTGTACACGTATACAATTATTGTTGTACAAATGCTGAAAAGTTTACAAAGCTCCAAATAATTGTAAATGTTTTGTTTATGGGGACATGCCGGTCAGAACGTTGAGCTGCACTAGAGCTGGCAACGCTGTGCAATAGAAAACATGGCGTCGCGAAAAATCGCAAATACACGAGAGGGGGGGAAAAGGCGAAATGAAACAAAGCAACATAAGAGAATGAAAATAAAAATGGAGGGCAATGCAAAGAACAAATTGTAAATCCTTTGTTCCACATTTTTTGGGCAGGTGGACTTTATGCAATGGGGGCTCTTCCATTTATACAGACCTTGCGCTTCTCCAAGTTCCGAATTTTGTGCTCAATGGTAACCAGCATTTGCTTCAGGGGATTGTACGGTTCGGCAGCAGCAGCAGCAGCCACGGCAGTCTTCAGTGCTTTGGCTGTATTTTCATTGCTCCCATTGTTGTTGCTCAAATCAGTTTGGCTGCCATCAGCTGCCGGTGCCGTCGACGATTTTTCGGTCAAGCTGGGGCTACTGCTGCGCCCATTGGTGCTCGAGCTGCTACCGATTCCGCTCACGCCGACACCACCGATGGAGCTGACCGAGGCGCGTTTCTCCTTGCTATTGCTGTTGTTGGTAATTGTGGTAGCAGCCGAAGGCATGGTGTGCCGATGTGTTCTTCTAGTTGCTTACTACTTTAGCGTGAAAACGGGAATGATCGTTGAAAAGTTGCTTTTTTTCTGTTCTTTTAACTGCTCCTCGAAAAAAAAACACACTCCGCAAAAAATGTCAAATGAACCAACCAGTGTGACCGCGGATTTATCGATGAAATTTACCGCATCAACGATATACCGAAATACACGTTGTTTTTTTTATATTGAAAATATACGGTAAATATACCATAAAACCATGTTAATTAATTTTGATATTCATATCAACATTAAAAGCTAGTAAAGACTCTCAGCACCAATGTTACAGTTTTATTTTATTCATTCATCAATTATCTACAATTTAGCCCTTTTCAATTATTCTTTACTTAACTTTTTACCATAGTTTAATTACCGAAGTCACATGGTTGTATATGCAGAGCGGTCACACTTTTCTGTGCCAGTAATGGGATGAAAATATCGTACGAGATGGGAGAAAAGTATCGCCCAGATGGGAATCGCGGAAATAAATATCGAGTTTCAATTTTTTTACTAAGTGCAGCGAAAAGGTGTTTTGTGAGAAAGAAAACAAAATGTATGTGGTTCTTTACTCTGCATAGACACGAACATAATCTATAATCATGGCACTGTGCTTGCCCCATGTGGGAGCCCAAGTTTCACGCTGTTGCCAAAAGGAAAGAGCCGCACGCGGCTCCTTGTTCCGATATGGCTTCACGTCTTTTTGCAAAATGCTGTCGTCAAAATTGAGAAAGCCGCCGACGGTAACGCCAAATATGATGAAACACTTCTCATTGAAGAAAGGCAAACCATCGTAGAGCTCTCCATAGATCTCTTCGTCCACCATCAACGTGATCTTATCCCGCTGCCAGATCATTGTGTAGTTGTGGAAACTATCCCCGTAATGAGCCTTCTTCAAACGATCCTTGAGGAACTGCACAGCACGTCCATGATGCCAGACAACCATGCCGCCATAAAGGTGACTCCCGGAGATGTCCTCCTGCTGCTTGCTCTGCAGGTGAGCGTTTCCTCTGGCGTACGCAATACCTAAGAATTAACCGAAAAACTGAGTCTGCAAACTGAGAGGCAACAACTTTCTGATCGTTCACACTTACGCAGTTGTTTGGCATAATGTGTTTCCGCATATGTTGACACGGGCTGCAGCATTATGTCTAAGGTTTTAAGATGACGAAATCGTGTGGAAATTTATCTAACTTTGCCACTTACATGGAAAAAGCCAGTCGCCTTTGGGTAACTTTGCCCGCACCACGATCTTGCCGAACTTAAAGCTGAAGGAGTCCCGTGTGTGGATTTGGGCCGAGGAAACTGGAGGTTTGATGGTATAAAAGCTACCCTGGGCAATGTTGCACTCCTGCTCGGGGCTCTCGACGGCTGTGCAGCGATCTCCCAGCTTGAAACTGCCCTCGACCACCTCGCTCGCCACAATGGGAACAATGTGCAAATGGCCCTCCTTCAGGTAGGAGTTGCGCGGTGAATCATCAAAGGCCACCAGCTCCTCCTCCACATGATACATGCGCTGGCGTATGTCATGCTTCCACGTGCTGCGATTCAGCTGCGCCTCACTGAAGTTATCCTCAAAGAGCAGCTCACCCTGGCAGGTCTGACGGCTGCTACTGACGATACTCTGAGCTGGCTTGCAGCGCTTCTGCTTCTCTGGCGCCAAATAGGCCTCGCATTCACCCTCACCGCTGGGATAGGTAATGCTCCGAGAAGCGCTGTCGCGGGTAGTCAGCAATCGAGTGTTTAAAATCACTCGAGTCTCGCTCTTCTCGTAGATCTCGTCGTTGTATTGCACCAGAACAGAAATTTGCAGCTTATCATTGTTCTGCAGACTCGTCTTTTGTCTGCTGGTCCAGCTTCCATTCTTTGACTCCGTTATGTAGTCCATCAGCGCCGGACAGCTATCATCTATTTGCAGCATATAGAAGACCCGTTGCATGCCAGGCTCATCTGAAAACAGACAGACTTTTTCCTCAATCCATCGACTTGACCTTGCCGCTGGACGTTACCTGGCAAGGACACTTCAAAGCCGCGTTCATTAAGCATTTCAAAGTCAATGCTGGGAATTTTAAAGGCCACATTTTTATTGCTTTTCAGCAGCAGAAGCCACAGAGTGCAACAGAGAAGAGTTTTCCAGCGCATGACGCAGTTTTAATTGCTTTCAATTTATTCAAATTTAATCCGCAACGCTTATTGTTCTTAGAAGTCGGACATGTAACTGATGGAAAAATCTTGATTTCAAAGCTTATGCCGATTACAAGCTCGCTCAGCGCTCTCTCCCCAATCTCGGATCAAATAAGCTTTCGTTATCGCACAGCAATTCCAGTAGTCGTTCCTTCCCGCTCTCGAAGCACTAATCAGAGTGCCGTTAAAACGTCAATAATTCGGCGTCAAATGCTAGATCTGAAGAAAATATAGAATAATGTTTCGTTCACAGAGAGGAGCCTCTTCAGTGCTGGAACTTCTACATTTGAATATACCAAACTCAGTCTCTGCAAACAATCGCAAATACACGAGAACCGGTCTGGAAGACAGGCTGCAGCCGTCGCGACCTCTCGCTTGCTCAGCTGAGTCAGATCAAAGCTGGAACAAAGTTTAGTATACGAAAAGAAGCCTGAGAATGCATGGACTAACAACAATTGGCGTATTTCTGCTGCTCTGGACTAAGATTGGGCACAGCGAAGGCTATAAGGTGCCCACGGCCAAGGTGGAGCTGTTGGATAATGGTTTTCGTGTGTCAATACCAGGTAATAAATTCCATCAGTCGCTTATTTATAAAGTGCTCATTTCGTGTTCTTTCCCTTGACAGATGAGACTGGCGTGAGGTTGGTGGCTTTCAATGTGAATCGCAATCGGAATTTCACTTCGTTTACTCAGGGACAGTACAGCACACGGCTGCTGGAGCCGCAGAATAAGGTCTGGTCCCATGATTTTCTTTCTGTACCGCTGCGGGCCCATGATGTGTTGTACATTTGGACGAGTGTGCAGCATGAAAGGGCAATCTTCCAAGATCTAGCGCAACCTATTCATGTTTGCACATTGTCTGGAGAGAATCTGCCCAAGGGTTGCACGACTGAGGAGCCAACAGAGAATAACAGTCTAAACACTGAGGACACCATTCGCCCGTCATCATCATCATCTGAGAGAGCGCAGCCCGAAGTATGTGAACCATCGTCAACGACAATATCACCGGCTTCATCCGCGCCCATTTGCAAGGGGCAGTTGCTGTTCCACGAGACATTCGACCAACTGAACGAGACCCGCTGGATGCACGAGGTTCGTGTACCCCTGGACACCAAAGATGCCGAGTTTGTGCTATATGATGGAAAGGCCAGAGTCCAGGATGGCAATCTTGTGATCCAACCCATTCTGTGGTCAAGCTATCGCCCAGACCTGTCCATATCGAACTGTCGGCTGGATCTCTCCGAGCGCTGCACGGGCACGCACAACAGCCAGAAGGAGTGTTCGCTGCATACCAGTGGCAGCGGTCCAAGTGCCATCATGCCTCCGGTGGTGGCACCTCGCATCAGCACCAAGGAATCGTTTGCCATTAAATACGGACGCATAGAAATTCGGGCCAAGATGCCAAAAGGCGACTGGCTGGTCCCCCTGCTGCTGCTGGAACCACTGACAGAATGGTACGGCCAGACGGGGTACGAGTCGGGACAGCTGCGAGTGGCCATGGCCAGGGGCAACTCCAAGCTTCGTATGCCGCACGGCAAACTCGTCGATGGTCGGTCGTTGTATGCCGGGCCTGTGCTCTCCACGGATGCCCTGCAGCGCGAGGATATCTGGGCCAGTCAGCGAAGAAATGTACACTTTGGCGACGACTTTCATACGTACAGCCTGGACTGGAGCAGCGAGCGACTGCGCTTCTCAGTGGATGGACAGGTGTACGGAGAGATGCTGAGTGGCTTTGCGGAGCTGGACTTGAATAAAAGATGGAAGAAAGGTGGTCCCATGGCCCCATTCGACCGAATGGTAATATTAATTTTAAAATTAAATCGAACTCAAGTGAAATCCATATTTTATTTCAGTTCTACATCACTCTGGGAATGTCTGTTGGTGGCTTTGGGGACTTTGTGGATAATTTGCGCACTGCCACCTATGAGAAACCATGGATGAATTATCATCCGCAGGCCAAGCTGCGTTTCTTCGAGGCAAAAGATCATTGGCTTCCCTCCTGGAAGCAGCCGTCCCTACTGGTCGACTATGTACGCGTCTACGCCAACTGATAATCTTATTTATATTTTTTTCGTGTCGGAATCTTATCACGAATAAAGCTCGTACAGCCCCTCTCTCCCAGTAAAATGTTAAGCCCAGTTTAGTTGTGCCTGGCGTCGAATACGATGCAGCTTTGTCTGTTGTTGCTCTCGTTAGCTGTGTGCTGTGTGTTCGGTTTGAGGGATTTTCAGATACGGCCGCAACTTAATTATACGAAAAACGAATGGTTCTGGTTATCGCTGCCAGGTGAGTGCTTAAATATATTTTTGTTGATTAAATCCACAAATAACGTGAAATTTCATAGAGGACCAGAGGATTCGTTCCGTGTTTTTCTTCACCGACTACGGTGCAAACAAGGATGCAGCCTTTTATTACAGAGTTTATCCAAATTCAGGACATCTCTGGGCTATAAAGGAGTATCTAAATGATACCCTTCAGGTCTCGGTCATTGTTGAAACTCATCAAAAGGAGATCTTTAGCAGAACGTTTAAAATATCAGCTGGTGAAGGAGGAACAAGAGGCACTTGTGGAGTGCAGCGGGTCAAGACCACTCCACCGCGGCCCTGGAGTTGCGAGACACTTAAACTTCCCAAGAAATTTTGCATTCAATCAAATTCTCTCATCAATGACGAGCCTTGCGAATGCGGTGAACGACTGATCTTCAGAGAACAATTTGAGGATGAGAGTTGGAGAAACAATTGGCGGCATCTGGAGCAATCACAGCTTCCCTCTCCCAATTACGAGGGTGTGGCCTTCGTGGATCATCCACACAATTTATATGTGAAAGACAATGCCTTACATCTGCAAGTCACACCGTCCAACTACAGCAAAAGTAATCCATTTTATATTCAAAATTGCACCGATCAAACCAAAGATAAACAGTCCTGCGGCAGCAAGAAACCTAACAATAATTTTCGAAAGTTTTGGCCACCATATAATTCGGCGAGCATTAAATCCATTGCCACTTTCAAGTATTGTCGAATCGAAATAGAAGCAAAAATGCCAATTGGAGACTGGCTGTTCCCAGGTAACTAGAGGCCATTCGAATACGAAAGTGATTTACAATTTCACACAGTTCTCTCGCTGAAATCCGACATGGGGCGTGCCATTCGCGTGGCCATTGTCCGAGGCAACGAGCAACTGCAGGACAGTGCCGGGACCGATATTGGTGGCAAGACCCTCTTCGCCGGAGCCGTTGTGTATGGCAACAAACATGAGGCTATGCAGCATATCTCTATCGGCAAGCACTTTGGCGAAGACTTTCACAATTACACGGCCATTTGGAAGGAGAGCAGCATTACCTTCAAGGTGGATGGACGTATATATGCCAAAATAACCGACAATAACATCCTGGCGCAGTTGAGTGAGAGCATGGTAAGGCCTTGTCTGTAATGCATCGTGAAAAGAAGTACTACAATCTTTTGAAACATCTTTCTTTACAGTGTCACATCGAGCTGGCAACAACTGTCGGAGGAGAGTATAATTTCCCCGACTCGCGGATTTTATCTGACCAAAAACCTTTCCGAAACCAGCACGGTAGTCTAGCTGGTGGACTTCGAAAAGCATCAAAAAAGTGGAAACATCCTAAGCTAGTCATTAGATCAATCAGAGTTTATTCCATTAGCGATTATGATGATTATAATATTTAAAAGGAAAAACTCCAGCGGCTTTCTTCTTCAACTTCCCCGTGTTCGCATGGTAGTCTGTTTGTATGTTCTCTGTACATTTGCTGGCTATCAGAGGTGCATAACCTATGGGTTATCGCTGTCTTCAGCAACTGAATCGATGGGCAATCCCAAGTCTCAGTTTCTCTTTGTCCATTATGAAGAGTTGGTGTGTGATCGGCTGGCTGAGCAGCCTGCTGCTGGGTTTATTAAGTGCGTTCAATTTGCCGAACCCAATGGTGGAGGTACACAAATCGGAGGTGTTCGTATCGCTACCAGGGAAGCTTGAAGGTATCCAATCTACACTCTTTCGAGCTGAGCAGCTGACTGAAGAATGTGCGAACAACAACTATACGTACATATCGCACAGCCCATGGAAAGGAAAGATTAAACTCCCCAACAAGATACAGCAGGATGCCAAGCTTAGATTGCAGACACTGGTGGTACGAGAAAACAATGCGATAAGCAGCAAAACCTCCGTGTACACCATCGATATTAATGGAACGGGCCACTTGGATGCTAAACATCCCACAGCGATCCGGAAAAACATTGACTTCAAAGCTCTGATCGAGCATTGTAAGCCAGAGATAATTCGCTTAGATGAGACTGTGACAGAATATGCGGATCCGAAAGGGAGAAAGTTTTCTAGCGGTGAGCTAATCTTCGAGGACAACTTTAGTAATGGTCAACGCATCAAGGATAATTGGAAACACAAGGTGGTTTCGCATTGTACTGGTGGAGTCTATCAGGAATATGTGGCTTTTGTGGCTGATCCTAAATATTCGTATATAGACCACAACAAGCTGCACATTCATATAGCCAAACACGAACACATTCCTGGCGAGATATTCAGACTGAAAGGATGCACTCCCAGTAATCCGGATAAAGAGAGGTTGGAGTGCGGCCCACTCACACCTTTGGGAAACATTCCCCCTGTTAGATCTGCTAAGATCCATTCGAAACATTTCTCCTTCAAATACGGAAGAGTTGAGATCAGGGCCCTAATGCCGAAAGGCGATTGGTTATTCCCATGTAAGTGAATCGGATCAGCGAAAGGTCACGATATAGAGTCTACTTTTTCATTGCAGATCTCGCACTTCAGCCAAAGAAGAAAAGCTCTGCCAACAATTTCGTTGATCAAATTCGTCTCTATGCCAGGGGGAACGCTTTTCTCCAAGATAGACAACTTAATAGCTTTGATGGAAGATCGCTGTTCGGCAGTGCTCTGGTTTGGAATGCTGAGACCGATATGCGGCATACGGATTACTGGGTTATGAGCGCCAATGAAGATGCACACCATTTCTCTCATGATTTTCATGATTATACAATAATTTGGATGCCCGATCAAATTGTTTTCAAAGTAGACGGTAAATTCTTCGGTGCCATATCCAACTCTTCAGTTCTATCGAGGTTCAATGAGCAGTGTAATCTTGTGCTGGGACTTTCCGCTGGTGGTGGGATGAACTTTGACGATGATGTCCTGATGAAGGAACAAAAAGTAGCCAAATATTCAAATAGCTTTCCAAATGCTGCAAAATTGTTTAAGGAGATCCTCCAAAAGATGACTTGGGAGAAGCCCACGCTGGTGATCGATCATGTTCGGGTCTACGCCATAGACAAAGATGGAAATTAATTGTTTGTTTGTACAATGAAAGGAAATTTAATACATTCACATTCCTCCATTATTGCACAAAGCTTTACCGGGAGCTGTCTAAAATGTTTTGCCGTTGTTCTTTTTGGAGCCATTGTTTCGCGAGTTTTGTGTGGACTTCTTTTTGCGTTTATCAGATGACCAGTCGACATCGTCTTCGTCGTCTGTGCCGCCTGTATTGGCTCCAGAATGCACATACGAGGAGTTCGAGCTAGCACTGCTGCCCTCCTTGGTCGCCAGACGACGGGATGCGATGCGGGACGATATACGGCCCATGCCCATGCACTTCTCAAGATGTGGGGCAAAACGTGCTGCCGCCACTAGTCTGTCACAGTTGGGGCAGGTGCAATCAATTGCCTTCTTCGCCGTGGAAACGCCAAATATATCCAAATTTGGAACTTCGCAAATGCGATGTGTCGACTCCTCGGGCACTCCGTCCAGGGCCGACAGATTGCCGGTTTTGCGTAAATGATGAACCTCTATGAAAATGCCGGTCACAGCGTCCTCCAGCAGCGATTCGTACAGCTGATTGGCGGCTTCGTCCAGTTTCTTGGGATCTTTGGTCACTTCGCGAAAGTTGCTGGCAATCGCTTTGCGTGTGGTAGGGCTTTGAGCAGCGGCTGCCTGCGCCGGTGCTGTTGACGTTGGCATGCTCAATGTATTTGGATTTGTAGACATGATTGAACTTTATTATTTTATGGAAGATTTCTCTGGGCAGCACAAAGTGTAGTTTAAAAATTTCGATTTGTTTTCTTTTTGTGTCTACAATGTCAATGCGTTGCCAGACAGTCGCGCTTTTCTTTGTCGGATTTCAGTCGTTCTAAACCTGATTAATCTCAACAGTTTTGTAATATTTTCAATAACGTCAAATGCTTAATTTATTTATTATAAGTAAGAGTAGGATTAAGGAAGTACGCAACAAATTTTTATTCATTGAGCTGCTTCAAAAAATTTGATTAGTCTGGCAGCACTGTGAAAAATGCATTCCTGCGTAGTTGCCGTGTATCAAAACAAATACAATTTGGAGCACATTTATGATCTTTTTTGTTTAAACATATTTTAAAGAGAATCCAGTAAAAGTGAGTTAAAAGTTAGCCAATCTTGTTGAAAATGTACTAAAATATCGTTAAAAATGATTGGTTTAGTGCTGAGGGTGTGAGCTGGCTAACAAGACTAGAGCGAATGTCAAAATCGAAGAATACATAAAAAACAGCTTTCTCGGACTGCACAACAATCTTTCTGGAACTGCAAGCAAATTGCTAAAATGCTGCTAAATAAAAAGGTGCACATATATCAGCAGTTAGTCGAAAGGCTCTTTGATAAATGCCAGAGGATTCAGGCTGACAATGAACGCTGTGTTATGAGGTAAAACAAACAGAAAGATTTCCTGATCGTTAATTTTACGAGTAATTTTCAGAGTAAATGCTATAAAAAAGACATTGCGACGACGAAATTTCGATGTGGAGATGCTGAAACGTCGACTGGACAAACATGGCGACAATTGGCGTTCAGTGCCCATGGTGGCGCCGCATCCCAAGGGCAAGACTGAGCAAAAGCGACGAGGACCGAAACCGAAAAACAAACAGGCCCCCGATGGGGGAACGGCACCCGCAAATCCCACACGCAAGCCCCGGAAGCAGCGTGCAAAACAACCTCAACCCAATCTCAACTCCACAATGCAGCAGCAGCCACATTCTGGTATATGCTGACATCAATTGATTCTTGCAATTGTATACATATTTAAGAGTCAAAGCTAATACATAATTCTTATTCATATTTTTCCGTACTTAAAAGCTAAAACAGAGAAATTCAACGGCATTGAATGCTGGCAGGGAATTCGTTATATAGAATGTCTCCCTGCTTTTATTCGGCCTGCCTTAAGCGTGCCAGACGCTGGGTGAGTTCATCTTGCTCCTGCGAGACCTGGGTGGTGGAGGCACCAATCGTTTGGCTCTGTACACCGCTGGGCAGCTCCATGTTCAGCTCGAGGCCAGCCTCGTCGGCCACTTGCTGCAACAGATTGTCGACATCGCCCTGGGGCACCGAGGTGGTGACAGTATCAGACATGGTGCCCTCCATCACAGAGCTCTGCACGTCCAAGTCCTCGAATTGGGATTCGAACTTTTCCATTAGAGATGAGATTTTCTCCAAATTCATGCCCTTCATGGCCGCATCCATGGCCTTGACCACGCCAGCCATGGAGCCAGTGACTTTGCGTGTGGTCAGCGCAGACTGCACACGACTGGCTACTGCATCCACTCGAGCACTCATGCGCAAGTAGTTGACGGCCTGGTTCTTCTGTCGAATGGCGTTCTCAGCGTGAATGCGGGCCACATCCATGTTGCCCTTTTGGATGGCCTTCTTGGCTTTGGCCTTCTCCGTCTTCTCCTCCTTCTCGCATTTCTTGGAGTTTCGCTCCAGCTCCTTTACCGCAAATTTTAGATTAAAGAGATGTTCTGTATGTGGAGTAAAGAGGGTGGTGTGGGTGAGCAATATTCTTTGTGGGGCCAGACAGCCGCCTGGTGCATGGCGTCATCGCACTGCTTTACTTACTTTCCATTGATGAGGTGGACATGTCGTTACCCAGCTTGATGAATTTACTATTTCAAATGAGATAAAAAAAGGGCAGTTGGTATCAACTGGAAATGGGGAATTTTATTTTACGTTGTTTTATCGCGATGAATCACTTTGTTTGTCAGATTTATCAGACAGTGTTGGGAAACACACATGAAACAGCTGACTGCTAAAGGAGTGTTGTCAGATTCAGTGTGACCGCTGAATAATTGATATTATTACCGACACACCCTCGGAAATATACCGAAATATACTCTTGCATTTTCAAAATATACGGTAAATATACCGTAGTCTTAAATCAGATTCCTCGATTTTGATGTTCTATTTGATAAAACTAGCTTGCAAAGACTTTCACCACTGAAACAATAATTTAATCCGATTGAACAATCAATTTTTATATTATAAATACGCCTTTTTATTGGATTGACCTTATTTTTATTTGAATTTTTTATTCAAATCACCCTCTTGGGAGCACGGGTGGTTTGTGTTGAGTATTTAAATTGTAGACAACATGTAGAGACACATGTGGGTTAACTGATATCACTAAGAATTTTTGAAAAATGGCGCGCGCAACAAAAGAGGAAAATAAATTCTATTGTTTTTCTGAAATCCTACGTTTCTGAACTAATCACCTATGGATGGTGTTTTCATTGATTTTATTTCTTTTCTTTTATTTCTATATATTATTGTCTATAGTCATAATATATTTTATTTTATATTTTGTTGTTCTCATTAGTTGTTCAAACTCCCTTTGCAAAGGAAAAGAGCTTTCAAACTCCCTTAAGAAACTGCTAAAGGAGTGTTGTAAGGCGCAAGATCGAGTAAGGCGGTTATTTTTAAAAATCTTTTGATTCATTCATTAATATTTCACATCTGTAAATTTAAATCTCAGGGGAATGTTTGGCATGTTTAGGAACGAGCTAGTGAAGGCATTTTCTGTGGGGTAATTGAACTCTATGTGGAAGTTTCGCACCAGATTAGCCACGGTCAACTCCATCTCAAGGTCTACGATTCGCTTGCCCACACACATGCGGGGACCAAAGCCAAACGGTAAGTAGACAAATGGATTCAAATTATTCCGCAAAAGCGAATCTGTGCTGTCGTCGCCCTGGGGGCGTACCCAGCGCTCTGGCAGATATTCTTTGGGTCGGGGATAGAAGCGTTCGTCGCGCAGCAAATTAGTGGAGAGCATGAGGAGATTCGTGCCCTGGGGTATGCGATAGCCATCCAGCACGACATCTGTTCCAGCCGATCGGATATTGCCGAAGGTAACGGGATACATCCTCATCGCTTCCTTTATGCAGGCACGCAGGTATGGCAACGATTTCATCTCCGCCAAAGTGAACTGGCGGTCTGGCTGGGGCAGCCTGGACACTATTTCCTCGCGCAGCTTCTTTTGCTGCTGGGGATTCTTCGCCAGACTCAGGAGGATTCCAGTTAGGGCCGAGGAGGTGGTGTCCACAGCTCCCATGAGCATGTCCATGGCCATGACCACGGCGAACTTTCGATTGATTTGCAGCAGCTGCTCCAAGACACTCTTACGGCCCACACGCTCCGCTGCCGACTGGCCCTCTATGCGTGCCACAGCCTCGTTTACGTACATCGAGCAGGTGTCAAAGATCACATCCGATGCCTTACTGAATTTCCTGTACGTGGGCGTGCTGATGTACTTGTACACCGACGGCTTTATGCCTAGCTCGAAGAAGCATAGTAGGAAGATTTTAATGTTTCTGAAGAGCTCTAGGGCCTCTGGCCTTTGATCGGAGTCCCGTAGAAGTCCCAGCTCGCGGTCCAGGGCCACCACAGCCACAGACTCAAAGGTCAGGGTATTTATGGTATCGAGAAAGTTTCCAGGCACCTCCTGTGACTCCGTATCCCGAATGGCCCTGATGCGATCTATAAATTGCGTGTTGACCCGCTGCATAGGCTCCAAGTACAAGTCAGCGTTGCGATGCTGCATCAAAATAGGGTTCGCCGCGCTGCGGAGACGGCCCCACTCTGGACCACTGCAAATGGATATCAGCAACTGGGAACTCTGTGGCAGATGCTACACTTACTTGCTGATCAGTCCAGTGCAGTCCTTGAAGAATCCGTCCTTGCGATTTGCACGATAATGCAGCACTGGTTCGGCCCCCCCTCTCACCGGCCACTGTCCCTCGGTGCGGTAGACTCTCTCGAAGTTCTCCACCTTGAACGTGAACACAGTGGTGGGCATGCCGAACAGGCCTGGTACCCGACATAGGTCCCCGAATCGCGACTGGTACAGATCCATTAGCTGGACCATATCCAGATCATGGAACTCGCCGCCCTTCTGGAAGCCACGCCACAATTGCCAACGTGTTGGACCGGGAATCTCTGCGAAAGGTTTTGCTGTAGTCCAGTCCACCTCCAACTGCTCCATGTACGATGAGCTGGCTGGTGCCGTATCTATGGTCCGCCGGGGGGTGACCTGGAGCCCAGATAGGCTAGACCTGGCGCTGATGCCCTGTTGCACTGCTCGTCGTATCATCGCCGCTATCTCTCAGTGAAATGCCAGCAGACAAGTGGGAAGTAAACAAGTTGACAAAGCTTTTGTGGAAAGCTCTCGATGTATTTAATAAGTTTGTGTAAACTTAATGTCGTTTTGTTTTGTTATCTCTCGCCCAAGTGGGAACTTGAAGCAAAAGCTTCGATCTTTTCCAGAGTATGCATGCACCTACGGTACTTTAACCAACGTACGGTACTTTACACAGTCGAGTCTTGTGACATTAAGATGGCCCCTACTCATGTATACGGACAATTCTGCATAATGTGGAATTGATTTAATTTAAACTGTTCTAAGTGGCCACTAAAGTGGAGAACAACACAATAAATTACTTTGTTGTTATGCCTACATGCAATTTCATTTTATTCATATTTATTTATAGCAAATTCTGGACTTCCTTTTGGACAATAGGCATACGAATATGTACAATGATATGTCCAAGCAATGATAGCTCGCCTCGGTTGTTGATATAAGTTAAACCTAAAGCAAAAACTACCTAGATTGCAAGTGCCACTAAAAATACAACCCATCTAACTAATAAGTACCCAGATACTACTGCCGTGCAGGTACCACCGCACATAGCAACAATCAATTGGGGAAAACAACTTTATCTAACCAATTTCGAGTGCCAAAACTAGATTTTAAATACGTAAATTGTGTGTGGCTCATATTACATTTTCGCTGGACCACACACATGGGGCATGCTGAGTGGCTGGCTGTGTGGCTAGCTGTGTGGCTGTGCGGGTCATCCACAATACGCTCCATCCATTCCACTGTTATCCAAAGCCATCAATAATATATGAGTCTCAAACGCTTGCATTGGAACACAAAGGACAGAAGCAAAACGCATTTTATGTGCATTTCAAAAACAATAAACCAAAACAAAAGGGCCAAATCGTTCCAATACACACACACACACACACACACAGGGAGAGACAGAGAAACAATAGAGGGTAAGGGCTTCTATTGTTTTGACCAACTTTGCGGAGCTCCCGCCACCATCCTCTGCTCCTCGTCCAACCCACTGACCGACCGACCGACCACTAGAGAATGTATTACATATTAAGTCTGATAACACGTTGCGGCCTTAAATTATAGCTGAGGCCCGTTATGGCCACAACCACGCCCACACGAAAGAGGGGCGCAAATAAAAATTACAACAGCAAAGTGCAGAACGGCAAGCCACACACCTGAGGGAGCAGAACGGTGCCGATGGCAGAGAATTCACTGTCCAACTTACGAGAAGTACAAATATATCTATGCTAAGTGACCAGCGATTACAGAGGGATTACAGCTTGACTGAAGATATCGTAAGCAGAATTTTATTTATGCATAAATTTATTATACCATAGACCATATTTGTATGTACAAATTGGTATAATAAGTAGCTCCAGCTCTGGTAGGTACAAATGTAAATTATAATCGAAGCACCCACTTTTCCTCAAGTACATACGTCTGTACATATTACAAGAAGCAAACAAATTACACAATTGACCGCCAAACAAGCCGCAAAAACTTGGCCAAATTAACTGCGTCTGTGCGCCGCACAACAACAAAAAGTTTGTACATAAATTTTGTAAATTATTATACATATATAATGTTGGGACCACACCACAAAGTATTTATATGACATACATAAGTACATACATACATTTATGTATTAAAGGTATTAATGTATATAGGGGCGCGGTTTTTTTGCTTTCTGCACAACACAGAGCTGGGGTATTATCCATTAGTTTTGCTGCTTTGTGGCACTAATAGCCTTGCCGCTGGATTGAATATACATCAATGTCATAAATAGTTAGAAACTTAAACGAAAATGTCCCACAAAAAGAGGATAATTTGATTTTTAAGACTTCAATTTGCTGTATGCATTGACCCAAATCGATGTCATCTGTCTAGGGGGAAGGACTGGAGGGGAAGGGCCGGGCTGGGTTGCATTAATTTCCAATAACTCTTCCATTTGCCTGTCATAATCGGAATCTAGCCAAACTGCCACTTGAGTGGAAATGCTTTGACATTATCATAACTGCATCAGATGTTCAATAATTCCTTCGTTTCTTTTTTTGCATTCCCTCTTTGCTTGCACACTTCAAACGGAATCGGAATCCACCATGAGGAGGCGACGGCGGGTGACACCTTCAAACCAAAGGCAAACAGCCGGATTTCTTTCTCCGATTTTTCTTATTTTTTTGTTCGTTGTCCCATCGCTTCTTGCTCTTTATCACGCGCCAACTGTAGCACCAGGGGTAGACTAGGGGAATGGGCGGAACCACGCGAAGAAGGCAGGCAAGCAGCGCAATCAGGATCCAGACCAAGTCCCAGACACAGGAACAGACCATTCCCATCTCCCCTTACCAGACACTCAGCCAAAGGCAACGAAAAGATTAAATCAGCGCAAAGTGCAAACACTGTGTCAAGTGTAGAGTGTAGACCGAGTCGGGCGGAGGACCAGGCACCCCGCCCAGACACGGCCAAAGACACACGGGAGCGGGCCATTGATATGGACGCCCGCCCCGACACGCCCCCTAACCGGCTCTGCTTTCGTGGGACCAAAATACCGACTAAAAAAAGAAAGAAAGCGGATAAATGTCAATCAAATTAACTGGCAATGCGATATGCAGCGATAGTAAGGAGAGGTACATAGGTAGCAGGCAGCTGACACACACGGAAGTTCCTATTTTTTTTTGAGAATTTCTTCTCCTTCCTGGAATTAAATTACACACTTCCTTGTGTGTGTTCGAAATGCACGTAATAAAGAGGATACGGGAAGTGATTAAGGGGTTACATAGAAATTTCAGATTAAATAAGATCCCAAAGCAGTTCAATTTGATCCAAGATACCATTTTGTAGTCAATAAAAGACATTGCTTGAGGCATTTTATTAAATTGATTACACCTCACGCCCATATAATCGGATTGGCTTTTCAACCCCCTCATTCACCATTATTTAATTTATTAAATTATTAACTGTTTGAAGCCATAAAACTTGCCACGTATTAACAGTTAATTGTTTGCTACAATTAAATGTTGGCATCCCTGAATTCAACAAGTTCCCTTTTGCCCTTTTCCCCACAAGTTAAACCGAAAGAACCCTGGCCACAAATGGGAATTCACACTAAGTACATATGGTAAATGAATGTGTATGCAAATAAAATTAAGAGAAAAACGCGATGTAAGCATAATTTGTTGCAGTTTTTGCATGTAGAGCAACTTTGCTGAAGGAGAACAAATGTGTAAAATCCCAGAGTAATTAACTTGAAGAAGAAACTTTGCTAAATGCCTGTAAACAGGAAGCGGGAAACGGGAATCGGGAAACGGGAAACTTACTCGCAATTAATGCAAAGAAGAAATAAATGGCAAATATTGTACAACATTTCAAATGCCTTTTGTGCAAGAGATGACTGCCATGACTCTGACTCTGACTCTGACTCTGACTGTGCCCTCGAGTCTCGAACTAATTTAAGGCCCATTAAATGCAGGCAGCAACAGGAAAACATTTCAGATATTCCTTTGATAATTACAAACAGATGGCGGCAGCATGGAGGCAGGATGGGCCAACAGGGGAGTCTCCGTCAGACATCAATCGATGACAACCGTGGCCCCATCTCTCGGTCCACGCCCTGGGGCTAACCACAAGCCGCAAGTCCATCATCGATTGTGGTTCAAATTGCGTTAATATTCGATTCGATTCGATGCGATGCGATGCGATGGGCCTTCATCAATGGATGGGCTGGCAGTAAACAACAGGGCAGAGCGCAGAGAGCAGAGCAAAGCGAGTGTCTGCATAATTGTCATTATCGTTGGATATGTTTGAATGCCAATGGTTTCAGCATTTGTTGAACTATCAAAGTCCATTAACTGTGGCATTTGCCTGCAGCTAATCCAACTACGTATTTTTGGGGTATCAAGACATTCCTTTGTTCTCTTTAATGCATTTCCTAGTTCACATTCAAGTGTGCCCTTTTTCATTAAAACTTTCCCTTTAGTTTCTTTACGAATTTATTCTGAAATTTTGCAGTAGAAGAAACTTCTCTTCCCCCTCTGTTTTCATTAACAAATTCCTAACCCACTGACCAAACTTTATGTTTAACATACTGATCCTAGTGCCACAATTTCCATTCTCTCTCCTCTCTCCCCCCGAATAATTATTTCATTTTGTATTAATTTCCCGTTTTCTCTCATTCGCTTTTCAGTTCACGAATCTCGGAATTGTGTGTCGGAGGAGGGAGGTCGGGGGGTCGGGTGTCGGAGTTCCCAACAATTAGCCAGTCCCTAAGTCGGAGCCGGCTAGGCTTAACACGGATGCCGAACCCTTTCCTAGCTTGCCGTAACCCCATTTCAGAGACATTGCCCCCTGTGGGATGTGGGATGGGTCGGGTACGGTCTGCTTCCTGGCTCGAAAACCCCCCATTGGGACCTAGCTTTTCGATGCACGACACGACATAGTTCCATTAAACTTTCGACGATAACGCGCCAAACTTTGCGCCCAGCAAAACTCTCAGTAATTTGCAGGAAGTCGGCCCCCCGTGAAGTCCCGACCCGTCCTGCCAATCTCCTCCCCAAGCTCCCAAGGCCCTGGCTGGCCATAAGTTAGGCGCTGCACTAATCAAGCGTTGCATACCAGACCAGGACGGCACAGCAAAAGAACAGAAGAGACCAGACCAGACCAGACCAGACCAAGCTCCAGGCAAATGCAGAGTCAGTGGCAAAGGCAAAAACAGAGGCGGAGACTCTCAACATCGAGGCATTTATTAATAACGCGAACTTTAAATAACCCAGCAAAACTTAAGTCAAGTCCTTCCTGCCATGCCTGCAGGTCTCGCCTTGGTTCCTATGCGGTTGCCAGATAATTGCGCATACGCCACGCTGCCGTGGCAGGATGCATGCCTTGAGCCACAGGCATTTCTGGAATAGCTACACATCTTGCGGCTCGTGCGATGAATATTGCGCTGGAACTTGCGGAAGTAAGTTCCGATCGATTTGTGTAGCCTAGATCGATG